CAGCTGTTCTTCTGTCCCACTGATGTCTGAAGGCAGCTGATAACTGGCATACGGCCCTGGCCCTCTCTCTGCCTCCGACACAGAGCCCTCCTTAGAGCCTTCCCCAGACTCCAGGACTGGCCAAGGTTCCTCCCCAACCCTCCTCACTGTCCGAATCTGCTGTCAGCTGCACTGGCGGGCCACAACAGTTGGTTCTCTGTGGGGGAACCATGGGAGATGGGTCCGGTTTCAGCTCCCCCGGGTGGGCTAGGGGATGATGGGAATTGTAGTTTTGACATGTCAAAGGAAGGAAGAGGAGGGTAGCTTTGGAAAGAAAGTCTCGTCAAGTTGAAGCGAACTCAACTCACAGCCCTCCAGAGTAACAGGCCAGGATATGAAAGGGAGAACAAGCTGAGATGGCCTCAGAGGTAGTTCTGGAAGAGAGCAGAGATAGCAGTTCGGATTACAGGTAGTCCTCGACTTACAGCGGTTCATTTAGTGACCGACATTGCCACGGCACTGAAAAAAGGAATTTACGATCGTTTTTTCACACTTATGACGGTTGCAGCGTTCCCCCATGGTCGAAATTCAGATGCTTGGCAACTGACTCATATTTATGACGGTCGCACGGTCACGTGACTCCCTTCCGACAAGAAAAGGGGAGGCCAGATTCACTTAACGACCGAACAGCTGCTTTTGGGGGGGGGCAGGAAAGGTGGTAAAACAGGGCAAAGCTCCCTTCGCAGGCGTTTCACTTAGCAACATAAATGCCGGGCTGAGCGGTGGTCGTAAGTCGAGGACTGCCTGTATCCTCTGCTCAAAGCAGGGCATAAGCACCAGAGGAAAAGAGGAGAGCTTTTGAGAGACGACAAAGCCATACGGAGGAAATGGGGGGACGGAGGATCGAGACGGTTAGCCATTGCGGTTCCCGCCAATCGATCCAAATTACATCTCCGTGTCATTAAAGATGCATTAGGGTTTTTTTGATGGATGGCGTTGCCAGAGGTGGAGCCGAGTTAAAATATCGGCAGAACAACAGCCTCCGTAACGCCGCACTATAATCGGATCTGCTGATTAGGTAGGATAAACACATAAGGCAGATTAGGGAGGGAGGTAATGATAGGATAGAGAGGATAGATCGGGTAGGTAGATAGATACAGATAGAGAGATAAGATAGAGTAGGTAGATCAGGAGAGAGATAATGACAGATGGGATAGGTAGATAAAATAGGCAGGNGTTCCCTCCTATTTCATTTGGGGGTTAACCAAAAAGATTAGCCGTCACTGCCCCAGGACATTGCAACGGTGGTAAATATGAGTCGGTGGCCCAGCGTCCAAATTGTGAACGGGTGACCACGGGGATGGCGGCCATGTGAAAAAATGGTTTTCTTCCGCGATGTAACTGTAGCGCTCGTTAAATGAACTTGCTGAGTTGAGTTGCAAAAGAGGGAGGGGGGTATTTTAGTCCACATCTGGCAGGTGAGGGCACACCGGGCCTTGGTTATGACCTTCTCCTTCCCCACCCACCCACTTTCTCGTCCTCCAGATGTCTCCCCCATTGTGGCGGGCCTCATCGGGGCCACGGTCCTCGTGGTCTCAGTCTCGGTGACGGTCTTTGTGTGGAGCTGCTGCCATCAGCAGCTGGAGAAGAAGCAGAAGAACGCCCCATACAAGTTCATCCACATGTTGAAAGGCATCAGCATCTACCCGGAGACTCTCAGCAACAAGAAGAAGATCATACGCATCCGGCGGGACAAGAAGGGCGTGGCCAGGAAAGACGGGGACGGGCACCTCCTGGCGGACGCAGCCGAGGCGGGCTTGGTGGGCTCCGAAACCACGTCCGGTGGGTTGAACTCTCCCGTCAACCCACTCCCCATCAAAGTTGAGTACGGAGAAGAACCGAGTCCTCACCAAAGTTTGACCCCGGCGGGGAGCAAGACCTCCTCGCTGTCATCTCCCGAAGACGAGATCATGCTAGGGACACTGACCTTCTCGGTGGATTACAACTTCCCCAAAAAAGCCCTGGTGGTCACCATCCAAGAAGCCCACGGTTTGCCGGTGATGGACGAACACAACCAAGGTTCGGATCCCTACATCAAGATGACCATCCTGCCGGACAAGAGGCACCGGGTGAAGACTCGCGTCCTGCGGAAGACGCTGGACCCCGTCTTCGACGAGACCTTCACCTTCTACGGCATCCCTTACAGCCAGCTGCAGGATTTGGTCCTCCACTTCCTGGTGCTCAGCTTCGACCGTTTTTCTCGGGATGACGTCATCGGGGAGGTGATGGTACCACTGGCGGGGGTGGACCCCAGCACCGGGAAAGTCCATCTGACGAGGGAGATCATCAAGAGGAACATACAGGTAGGTTGGCCTGTCTTCTGGGTTTCCCCCCTGTGGATTGTGTTCTGACCGAGGCTTCCCGAGAGCATGAAGCCAACTCCTTGTTGTCCCGACAAAAACCCCTTTTATTAATTGACTGTGAATTCTGCTCATTCACATCCAGCAAAGTCTTTCCAGG